CTGGGAGGCAGAGATTGCAGTGAGCCGTGATCACACCACTGCACTCCAGCCTTGGTGACAGAGTGAGACTCTGTCTCAACAAAAAAAAAAAAAAAGAAAAAGAAAGAAAAAAAAGATTTTGTGGGCCTTCAAGGAAGTGAAATCTATTAGCTTGAGGACCAGGTGGAGTGCAGCTGGCTCAGCTGAGATGGAAACTGACTGAGTGGGAAACAAACACTGTTTTGTTTTTTTGAGATGGAGTCTCACTCTGGTCACCCAGGCTGGAGTGCAGTGGCAAAATCTTGGCTCACTGCAAGCTCCGCCTCCCGGGTTCAAGTGATTCTCCTGCCTCAGCCTCCCAAGTAACTGGGATTACAGGCATGTGCCACCATGACTGGCTAATTTTGTATTTTTAATAAAGACGGGGTTTCACCATGTTGGTCAGACTGGTCTTGAACTCCCAACCTCAGGTGATCCGCCTGCCTCAGCCTCCCAAAGTGCTGGGATTACAGGCGTGAGCCACTGCGCCCGGCCATTTTGTTTTGTTTTGTTTTTGTTTTTGAGACAGGGTATCAGTCTGTTGCCCAGGCTGAAGTGCAGTGGCATGACCTTCACTCACTGTAGCCTTGACTTCCTGGGCTCTAGTGATCCTCCCACCTCAGCCTCCCGAGTAACTGGGACTATAGGTACACGTCACTACACTTGGGTATCTTTTAAATTTTTTGTAGAGACAGGGTCTCGCTATGTTATTTCCCAGGCTGATCTCAAACACCTGGGCTCAGGTGAGCCTCCCGCTTTGGTCTCCCAAAGTGCTGGGATTACAGTGTAGACTAGTGTGCCTGGCCAGTGATGCTCTTTTAACATGAGTACCCAGTGTTTGGAATCAGCACATGACATCAGTTAGGTTTTGCTGTATAATCAATTAACTTAAAACTTAAAATACACAGCCATTCAATTAGTTCGTAGTTCCGAGAGTCAGCAATTTGGGCGAAACTCCGCTGGATGATTCTGGTTTGGATAAGATCGGTTCCATCTCAGCTGAGCGTACTCTGCAATAAGCTGGTGGGCTGGCTGGGGCTGGCTGATTCACATCTCTCTTTGGTCTGTCATCCTCTAGTGGATTAGCCTGGATTTACGTACATTGTGGCAGGAGGATTCCAAGAGTATTAAAAAAACAAGCCCTATTGCATACACGCTTTTAAAAACCTGTGTGCCAGGAAATTACCAAATCTTTCCAATTATAACATTAAAAGACAACCAGTCTCTTCCACTTAAAACTTATTATTGGCTGGGCACAGTGGCTTACGCCTGTAATCCCAGCACTTTGTGGGGCAAAGGCGAGAGAATTACTTGAGGCCTGGGCAACATAGTAAGATCTTCTCTCTACAAAAAAAATACAAAAATTAGCCAGGCATGGTAGCATGCACCTGTAGTCCCAACTACTCGAAGGGCTGAGGTGGGAGGATCACCTGAGCCTGGGAGGTCAGGGCTGCAGTGAGCTATGAACAAGCCACTGTGCTCCAGCCTGAGTGACAGTGAGACCCTATCTCTAAAATAAAATAAAAACCAAAATGTAAAAGGAAAAGAAACCTCCCAAATATATTAGCATTTATGCCTTCAGAAAAACAGATTCTATGTGAATATTAATATAATTGCAATATATTATCAAGCAAAGAAACCAATGGGAGGCCGAGCACGGTGGTTCACACCTGTAATCCCAGCACTTTGGGAGGCTGAGGCAGATGGATCACCTGAGGTCAGGAGTTTAAGACCAGGCTGACCAACATGGTGAAACCCCATCTCTATTAAAAATACAAAAATTAGCTTAGTGTGGTGGCAGGAGCCTGTAATCCCAGCTACTCAGGAGGCTGAAGCAAGAGAATCACGGGAACCCAGGAGGCAGAGGTGCCATGAGCCGAGATTGCACCACTGCACTCCAGCCTGGGTGAGAGAGCGAGACTCCATCTCAAAAGAAAGATGGAAAGAAAGAAACCAATGAGAAAAGCAGTCTTTAGGGTTTGAGATTCTATTTTATAGCTAGCCAGGTGGAGGTTTGGAGGGGAGATTGGGCTTGCTTAAGAGGAAGTTAGTGGTCAGACCATGCAGGGTGAAGTTAGAGTTCGGAACGTATCCAATAGCAGAAAGAGCCATTAAAGGCCCTAAAGCAATGTGGTGAAAAGATCGGATTATATTTTATTTATTTATTTATTTTTTTGAGACAGAGTCACAGAGGAAGACTTCATCTCAGAAAAAAAAAAAAAGTCCAACTTTGAACGTATTGTTTGCAGAGGATGAAGTGGCAAAAGAGACAAATAAGGATATCCAGAGAAATAGGAGGAAAAGTGAGTTCAGGCTATTATTATTATTATTATTCTTTTCTGAGATGGAATCTCACTCTGTCGCCCAGGCTGAAGTGCAGTGGCGTGATCTCGGCTCACTGCAACCTCCACCCACCGGGTTCAAGTGATTCTCCCACCTCAGTCTACCCAGTAGCTGGGACTACAGGCACACACCACCATGCCCAGCTCATTTTTGTATCTTTAGTAGAGATGAGGTTTTGCCATGTTGGCCAGGCTGGTCTCGAACTCCTGACCTCAGGTGATCTGCCCACTTCGGCCTCCCAAAGTGCTGGGATTACAGGCGTGAGCCACCATGCCTGGCCCATTCAGGCTACTATAAGAGAATACTATAAACTGGGTGGCCAATATCAGCTGCAATTCCTTTCTCACAGTTTTGGAGGCTGGAAAGTTCAAGATCAGGGCACCGGCAGATTTGGTGTCTGGCGAAGGCCCACTTTCTGGTTTATGTATGGCTTCTTCTTGCTGTGTCCTCACATGGTGGAAGGGATGAGCTAGCTTTCTGGGGTCTTTTATTATAAGGGCACTAATTTCACTCATTT